TCTATTCCTCCTGCCACTGAGCTATTAAAAACTGTTTGATAAATTGTTTTAAATCAGTAAAATGAAGTTTAAAACAACTGGTGGTAGCGATAAAACTGCCTTCGCGATCTGCTTTTTCATTGCCTGGTATTTTCATGTGCCAAGGAACCCAGCAAAAACAATACGAAAGTCAAAGTATTATTGTACTACGAATGACAATATTTTCGATATTTCTATTGCTAAGACGTTGCAGTACATAAAGAGGGTCTAAATAGATAACAGCTCTTAATACTTTGTTTGTTTGAATATGTTAAAGAAGGGCGAGGTATATAGCTCGCACTTCCTCCGAGAATATTGAGGTGTTGTTGGGTGTTCGGCAACCTTATCATTTTCTTTTGAACAATTAGTATATAAATGTAGAAAAAATATATTTTAACTGCAATTTCGAGAAGGCGAACGAAAGGTGCAACAGTCAGTGTCTGCTTTAGCCACTTCATGAAGTTAAAAGTCAACTTCAGGTGAATTCAAGAGCCAGGGTGGAATGTCTATCGTGCCAAATGACCGAGTTTGGTCAATATCAATATTTGTGTTTTGTAAAAGAGTGGAAATCCGAATACCAAATTGTGGAATGGTCTTTGGTTTGCTTTGAAACCAACGTTTTATATTTTGGTTTAAATGAAAGTGAAAAAGCAAGATTTGTAGGATTTGACTTTGTCTGAATGGTGTATTGCAAAGCCAAGTTATTTCGACGACTATATAGTGATGGTTTGTTAGCCCTTACGTAGAGGCTTGCTATATTTGTGGCCTTGAAAGCTCCGAGAGCTAGCCTCAGACCCTGGTGATGAACAGTGTCTAATAATTTGAGATATGAAGGTCAAGCATATCCATACACAATTGAACCGTAGTCTTATTTGATCTAACAAGAGCTATAGAACGTTTTAGCAAAACGTTTCTATCAGCTTCCAAACAGTGTGGGACACCGCCTTTAGAATATTAGGTGCTTTAAAGCATTAGGGTTTGAGGTATTTTATGTGGAAGGAAGGACAATTTTCTGTCTAATATTACACATAAGAATTTGGTTTGCTCAACAACCAGAATGGGTACACCACATGTGACAAAAATTCATACAAAACTGTTTTGTATTGTGAAAATTTTAATTCATTTTCATCTGCCCAAATTTAGAGTCGATTCAAACATTGTTATGTTTATCTTTCGATGGTATTCCTATGCGTAGATCAATAGCATATATTGAAGTCGTCGACATAAAGAGCGGCCGCAAGTGAGGTGTTTTGACAATACTGTTAGTTTTACGTTCAACACGTGTAACTGAAAGAATGCTGCCTTGTGGTACACCTACTTCCTGCTGATGAACATCGGAAAGGGTAGTTTCATTCCAAATATGAGGATAGAAATTCGAACTCGGTGTTTGCTTAAAGGGCAAATTATATTGACAAATGGGGCAGAGCTGATTTTTTTAAAAAAGACTTTTGATTTTAGAATTGGTTTATGACTGCGTAGTGTTAAAGGTCGTTACGATAGTGTTAAAGGGGTGGCTATCACCTTATACAACTCTACTCCAAACCCTTTATTCCGATTTATGACTCCTTAGTAGACGTGTTGACAACGTGACATTGCCTTTTAGTACTTTTATTGGCATGGTAGGTGTTGTCGATAAAGCAGAAGACGCTCAAACATCCAGAACACCTGGTCTTCTTTTACTTTTTCAGGAGTCTCCGTGTATGTCTTTCTTTTGTCCATATTTTAAGTTTTCTTGAGTTTGGATTAGACGTACATTTCCATTGAACGTACATTGAACACGGTGTTATCGCTTGGATAGACTGTTGGATATGATTCCTTTTCCCTAATCATCCATAAAAATGGTATGTAACATGTTTTTAACAAGAAATATTGACAGCAAAGTTATAGGCCTGTAATTGTAAACATTATCTTTTCACCACCTTTATGCAATGACGTCATTCTTGCTTGTTTGATTATGATGTTATGATATTATTATGTTTATGATGTAGAGCGAAAGTGAGATTGTGATATACCTAAGTTTATAATGTAGGAGGAAAGTGAGATTGTGATATACCTAAGTTTATAATGTAGGAGGAAAGTGAGATTGTGATATACCTAAGTTTATAATGTAGGAGGAAAGTGAGATTGTGATATACCTAAGTTTATGATGTAGAAGGAAAGTGAGATTGTGATATACCTAAGTTTATGATGTAGGAGGAATGTAAGATTGTGATATACCGAAGTTTGTGATTTGCAAGAAAGTGAGATTGTGATATATCTAAGTTAATGATGTAGGATAGATGTGGAAATATTTATTTCGGGATCTATTCCGTTAATACCACATGAGTTTGCTTACTGATGCATAATTCAACTTCTGGTTTGATGTAGGGAATACAGATTTTGAGTTGCTATAAATATTAATATTTGTTTTTCAAATCGAACCTGATAAGTGTTATCAAATTCCTTCTTTTCAACCAAATCTGAAAATCACAAATTATGGAGCCATAATTATACTTCAGCTGAATGTGAAGATGATTCGGTTTTTGATATTGATATAGTTTACAGGTGATTCCATGAAAATGTACTGGACTATTTTTTCATGGTTGCATCCTTAACTATATCATTTCATTTCAGTAATTACCAAAAGTTTAGTATGTAAGCCCGAAAAACAAACGATTCAAACAGCCCGCCCTCTCTACCGTCCCGTGTGCCATTACGACAGAGAGATCTTCCTTCCTCTTTGCCTTTATGACGCTCACTGATTGCTGACCTTTTAAAGATGAGGTCTGTGCTACCTGTGTTTTTCAGCGGCTCAGAAGGTTCCTAAGGTATGTTTTTGTTCAGTTGGCGTTGCTATTGCCCATCCCAGGATGTTCTTTTTCACCCTGTCTAATGTAATATCAATATCATAAAGACAGGATAATGACTCATCTGGCTCAGTTCTGTCCGCTTCATCATGTAAGAATTTCAAAGATTAAATCGTCATGTACAAACATTTTGAAACATCTATAATTGATTTAATCATGTTATGCATTAATTGTTTTCCTCTTCACCGCAGAAAATCCGATGCACTGTTTTACGAATAACATCAGTATTATTCACACAGATAAGACCAATAATAGTTGATAATGTATCAAGGAGACTTGCTGAATCTGTGTCTTGTTAAATCAATGGTAAAATCACACAATATCAAAATTCTCATTCATCGTTCGTTCAATGTTCAATTTCTCTAATGGTATCGATCCATACCATATTGATATAAGGCGGGCGATATACAACGCCTACAAAGACTTTTAACAAATGAAAAAAAGATTGAATTGTGACAATGGATACAATGTATATATGGAGCCGAAATCACTTCATGATTGATGTAGAAATATATTCGTATATATACCTGAATAATGCATCATGTGATAAAAAGAGGAAATATAACGGTTTTTCATTTTAATATGTTATTTGACATGATATTTAGATATTTTCTGTCATAGTATTAAATTGCAAATGACACTTAACGGAAAATCATCATTGTATTACATCGTTGTACTATATTCCACTCACTATTTCACGTGACAGAGTCGATGCCAGGGGTTAAGCTGAGGATACTTCATCAGGTCCAGATAAATTTTAAAACGTTCTCTTAGATCTTTGATATGGATTAAGCAGTCTGGTTTGATAACGTCATGGATAGGTGACCATGTTTGCGAGCCAAGACCTAGGTCAATGCTATAATGCTGGAACATTACATCATTTTCAGCTCAACATGTATTATGAATTATATGCAAGATCTACATATATGAGGTATCTTTAGCTGTTCACATCTTCCAATCAGAATGTGTGAAACCGGGATCAGGAAGTAACTTGAGGTTTGCTCATTTCTCTGAGTTAATATATCTTTTATTTAACAGGAAGCAGTTGCCTGTGGAAACTGCAATCAAGAAACTACAAAGAACACTTCAACAATCAGACATGATATGGCTTTTAGCATCAACAGTTTTAACAGGTAATACGTTTTCCTAGAATTGTCGTGGTATTAACATACAGGCAGGGCGTAAGAATTTTTTACCTGCCAAAAAATGTCCATAAGAGTTCACCTAAATTTACATTAACGTTTACCTTCCTACCTGAACATAATTTATAGCTCGAAAACCATTAGTATGGTGATATCAAAGGGAAGTTAATAAAAAATATATTTAATACAAGAATAACGAAAATAAATTATAATGAAAATGATTAATAATTGAAGGATCGTTTAACCGTGTTGGGCAGGTATTTATCCTTGATCCCCTGTGGTTAAGTCGACATAGGGGCTAACATGTCTATTATCAAATATAATGTTTTGAAAAAATATGGAATCGATATATAAAATGATCTTTCACTTCTTATGTATCACTGTTTTGTTTTTTCCGCTCAATATTTCTAATATTGTATGCAGGTATGGCGATCAGATTCAAATGCAGATCCTAAACCCTGCCCCGTTACTATCTTCATTAGGAATGCGGAGAGTAACAGGGCGAAAAAATATGATATGCATTTTAATAAGATTGCCAGCATGGCGGCCAGTTCAAACTTCTGAAAGATAAATTATTTAAGAGTGATAGACATAGAGTTGATCCCCTGTTGCAAAGTAAACATCGCTGTTCTAATCAATAACAGGGAGTTTCACGCTTCAACGTCATATGAAAATCAATTGACATGTAAAACGTTTCATTTCCATGTTGGCATTTTACTTTTTGCTATAAAATTGATACATATATACATGTCAATTACATATCAGGATTGGTAGAATAGCTCCTTATATAAAAAATTACAAAATTTGTTCCAGTAATTCATGTTGTCAGTAGCTTTGAAAGTATCGAACACGTATGGGACGTGGAAACAGTATATAACAACAGACATTTGCCAGAAAATACCGGTCCAAATGTATCAGTTTCTTCAAAAATAGAGTGCATGATCACCGCTCTGACGGTTAAAGCGTCAATGGCGACTTATGACACATCATCGCAATGGTGTATTCTCCACGATACCGTCAAACAGACCAACAAAACGAATGTGCTCTACGTCATCGGGATCGCGCAAGGTAAGATCTTTGCTGTGTTGAATGATCCGCTTGATTGATATGATTATACATGTAGCTTGTTTGAATGTATGTAAACGTGGCCGTAGAGATCTTATCATTAGGCACTTCTTAGTTTGAAAGATGGATGTCTAAGGTGACTCAACGAAAAACAGCAAGACAGGAAATATTCAAGAGGGTCGGCTAGTGGTCAATTTAGGACTTGCACTTTAAAACGACATTTGCAGATTATAATACATAGTCAAATATCAGAAATAACGGCAAGTTAGTAACGAAAATTTGTATTGAGCAATTTAGACAATGAATCAAAATTAGAAAACAATTTCGCAAATTTATACAGTAAATGCACAAATGTGTACATAAAAAAGAACTGGAACCAGTTCTCAGCTAAGAGCTAATGGCCTGTTCTCGGTATATGATTTTCGGCGACGGGCAGAGTCAAGGAGACGAGAAACCTTCATCATCATGATGAAGATATGTGGTCTCCTTGACTTTGCCCGTCACCGGGCAGAGTCCATTCGACGTATGTCGATTCTCTGGCGACGTGAGGGAGTGCTCCCCTCATGGGTTGGAGTCGTTAGGGGGTTGACTGGTCTGTAATTTGGAGACGACTCCCTGGTCTAAAGGTAATCTTGTGGTGATGTGTCTGGACTTCTGGCGGTGGAGGGGGTCCTTTTCTCCTTTCCTGCTAAATCTCCAAGCTGTCTTATTACGATTATTGATTTTTGTAATGGGAAATTTAGAAGTCCGTTCCTAATAGAATGAAAATGACATTAGGCCGAATGTTGTTTTGTTTAATTTGGGCTTACACGGGCTCATAGGCGGCGTTAAGCGCCTACTCTTATAATCGATAACCGCGGGAGGATCTTTTTCGTGCGAGGTTAATACTCACACAGGTCACCGTTTAAAGTCCCGTCCGCCAGACTATGATTAGTTGTTAGTTTGGTGATTTTGTGAAATTTGTTATTGCACGTCCCATCTGGTTAACTTTCCAATCACACTGCGGGTAAACTGATCTGCTTTTCAACATATCTATGGCTTTCTGTGTTTCCATTCTGATCCTTCAACATGGGTTGATTTACCTTTCCGATTTGTACCTAATTGTGCTTAATGTGCTTGTTTTTAAAAAGGGGTTGGCGAAAGATGTTAGGTTGGAGTGGAAAGTGGTTTGTAAGTGTTATTCAGTGTGTGGATAGCGGGATTCTCTACTCTGGGTGGGGTGGGCGGGGGATTAGGTTATGTATTAAGCTGGTGTGACATGTTAGTTATCATTAGTTTAATGTAGACAGAGAGAATTTTTTTATGCATACAGAAAGGTTTGAGGGATAAACACCGAGAGATGTATGTATACTATTTTTGTTAAAGACAGAATTTCATCGATACAGCGTGCTTGAAGGAACCTTCATGACATTTGTTTTCTGTATATGCATGCTTTCTGATAAATTATGAACGAACGTTAAACGATTAATTGAAAAACACCCAACATCGGATTTATCTTGAAGTAAAATAATGTTTCCTTCCTGAGCAAATTCGTCCTTTAATATTTCGAGGACTTTATTTTTTCATGGTAAGAATCATTTCTGAAAATGGTGAATATTCTACACTACAAAAAAAATGTTTCAAGTACCATATGAGTCATAAGATTTATGTGTCGATTTACAGTTGTAACTATTTTATTTGTCTTATTTTTTTTCTTTTAATGTATGTGATGTTAGCATATATTTTCATTTTTCTACTTGATATATATGTATATAGCCCTGTTATTTACGTCTTCTGTTGTATGTGGCATAAACGTGATCGCTGCATGTTTCTTGGGAAAAAGTATTTCATTGTGTTATATGGTTGCAATTGTTATCGTTGCTAGCAAACACTTGTATTGTGATATATATTGCTATTGCGGTATTCACTGTTGTTTGTTTGTAAATTTGCCAAATTATATTAACAACTTGCGTGAAATGATCTGTTTGTTTGTATCAAAAATAGTTCTACATAGCAAACGTTTGTACTCGTACGAAATGGGATCAGTCTTCTCGTAATTTGAAATTTTTCGAATAAAGACCGTTTAGATTTCTGGTGAAGGGTCTGAAATATCGAGACTCCTTCCACCAATTAGAATGTGTGTTTAATACACGATTGATACCAGCGGTGTTCTACGTCAGAGATGTATGTTGAATGAAAACATTCAAAGATATTATCAAAAATAAGTTATTTTTTTCAAAGTTCAATTCACAAATCACACGAATGTGTGTAGATTAGACTTAATAATTTCATCCTTACCTACTTACCCTATTGTACTTCTTTCTTGCAGAGGGAAATAGGCATATTCTATAACCAAAACCGATAACTCATTTTAGCGCAATTATATCATTATTATGCCATGCAAGTAAACATAACGGTAAATAGGGCCGCCAATGAATTATAGGGTACTAAATATCGGACCTTTCAAAAATCATTACGCATTACTTTCCAAAATATTGCATGGGATTAACTTTTTGTTATTTATTCAATATTATCAGGGGAGCATGACAATATAAAAGGAAATTCCACACAGAATTCTGACATTAAAACGTGTGGAGACCTTGATTCCGCCAACGGTTCAGGAGTGTATCGTATCACACCCGTACCAGACAAGTCATTTGATGTGTACTGTGATATGGATAGTGAAGGAGGTCCATGGACAGTAAGTTTAGTTAACAACACAAGATTGTATAAAAATAAATCCAAAATGCAATTAAAAAAACTTACTAACAAACAGGCAAACTAACGAGCATCAAGGACACCCACCTTCATATCGCATAAATAAATAAATAGATAAATAAATAAATAAAACGAGGTGACTATGACAACCATAACACTTACCAATAATTCATATAAACCTGCGTCATTCGAAACCTTGTATTACGAGATTGTCCGTCAGTTGACGCATTTTTGTGCGAAAATTGTCATAATGGGAGTCTTTTAATAACGAATCAACTGCTGCGACATCTACACACCATAGGTTTGGTACTAGGGCTGTTACAATGCAGAAATGGAAATTTCACAATAGGGAAATCGAAATTATCACGCTTATCACACAGCTTAGATGAAAGCTTGTTTAATGTTCTCATTGCATTTAACTTTGTGAAGCGATTTAATCAAAATATTAAAAAAACAAAAAACAGTCATAGGAGTGGAATACATTTCAGCACGACAATAAGACCACATAAATGGCAACTTTGATGGCCAAAATATAAATAAAAGATATCTTACGTTAGACTCTCAATTTGTGATTGCACTTAATTCTATCATGTTAGAATTTTAGTTGAAAGCAACGAAGTATTTGTGTATGAAGAAAATGTGCCATGTACTGATAAATCGAACAATGTTTTAAGAAAATTGGAAACGATACAACTTTTTAAGCAAAAAATTTCACCTAAATTGAATAATGATAAACTATATCACTGTTATATTATGGGGGTATGAAATCAACAATTGTTCGCAAGGCGCGACATTTTCATTCATGAAGAGTATTTGTTTTTGAATCTAGAGACAATAAGTAAATTTAATTCCTGTTATACCAACCCCTTTTCAGCCTTACTGGGTCAATGCTAATAATTCGTAATCATGTTAAAATACTCCAATGCTAAATCCACTGAAAAATCCGTATGTAAATAATAGTAACTTTACTCCCTCCCCAAGAGGTAATGGAGGACACTGGAGATATGTTATTTAGTTTTGGTAGAAGCAAACCTCGAACCCCAAAATTTCTGACATTTTACTTTTGTTCTAGTGATGATATTTTGAAAGGTGAGGTGAAATTGATTATTCTGAACTCATGGAAAAGTATTTAAAACAACTGTATATATTGTCTCTAGTAGACCCCGCCCCTCCTCTCCAAGGGGTTAAATGCTCTGTATGTACAGGCTAAGGGATATTCACCGAAAAATATTTCAGAGTAATTGTTGACAAAATTGAATTATTCTAACACAGGAAGGATTTTTAAGAATTTGTTTCATTTCCACCATTTGACCCCACCCCTTCCGCTCTGGGGGCCGAAACCCACTGTTCTGTCAATATAGAACCCAAGCATGTCTCGGACCAAACTGTGATAAAATACAGGCATTCCTAAGTAAGAATGATATAGACGAATTAGCCACTTTTCCCCTATAGGACCTCGCTCGTCCTACCCATGGGTCTTAGATCCACCGTTTATACAAAATTGATTTCCCTTCAACCAAGAATGCGTCAGACCGAATGGGTACAATATCCAGGTATTCCCGGAAAAGAAGCGAGATGTTTTAGAACTGGCTCTACTTCCCCTGATTTGTGCCGTTCCTCCTGGGGCCAGTAACCGCCATCTACACAACATTTATTCCCCTTTTATCAAAAAATGCTTCAGACAAGTTCCAATTATTCCTACAGGAGAAGTAGGATTTTAAAGAACTTGGATAATATCCCAATTGTGGGCCGATCGAGAACCAATATTAATACGAACTTGGTTCTCCAGCCCCAGTGATGCTTATTAACCAAGTTGAGAAAAATCTGTTTAGCCTTTTATGAAAAGTAGCGATTATTATTACAAACAGACGTACCGGGCTAAAAAGCAGATTATTTCAAAATGTTATTTTTCAATAGAGTTTGACAGCCGCATATCTCCATAGCGACCAAAATGCAGTTTAGAAAAAAAAGCTAAAAATGCTTCATTTCACTATCATTTGGATTATTCTTAAACTGAAGAAACAGCATAAAAAAATATTTTTGTGTAAAAAAGATTATCCAACAGTTCAAAATTCAGATAATCCAAATCTAAGATTTATGTTGATAAATTACGCAAAACTATTGTTGAAATCTGCCCAGAACTTCCTTAGTTATACTCAAGAGAAGAACCCTTGCAATAGGAAAAACATTGGAATTGATGACATTAAAAACCGAATCACTACGTTACCTATACGCAAGTAGAGAGCACCTTCAATGTAAATTGAGAATAAGGTAGTGATACTAGTTTTATACTATAAATCACCAAAATTTAACGCATAAATGTTTATTTCTATGACTATAATATTGTCCAACAGGTAATACAGAACCGTGAAAACAATGAAGTGGATTTCTACAGAGACTGGGATCAGTACAAAACTGGATTTGGCGATCAGCACGGCAATTATTGGTTGGGTATGTATTATTTCAAGTCCGTATTTAAATTTCGTTCAACGGTATACATAATACCTGATGACTGCAAAGCCTACCAAATACCTTCTACATAAATTTATAGCTATTTGCATTTTTCTGTTCCGTTTTTTGTTAATCAGTTTTACATGCAGGAGTTTGCAATGCCATTCATTTCGTAATGCATGTTTTTAACAGGAAATGATGGCATTTTCGCTCTGACTAAGACCCCTTGTGTGCTCCGGATACAACTGGAATCTGTTAATGAAACATTTGGTTATGCTGAATATACAGAATTTCAAATCTCCGATGAAGCCGAGAATTACACACTGTCAGTGAGTGGTTTCAGAGGAAATATCAGTAAGTCCAACGATGGTCAAATCTACTTCAAGTTGTTCAAATTGTTACGGTTTTACCAAAATTACTTTTAGCGGAAGTCAGGAAACGGACATAGTTTTACTCTTTTATTTTCGATGTCCGTATTATTTCTTTCAACGTCAATCTCATTAAAATGCAGATCCTCATTCTCCCGCCGTTTCCCTACATTAGGATATGGAAACATCCCATGACGGGCCATGTTCTGGTGTCATGCATTCTGTACTTCACTTAATAATCTAGAGTTAGGATCTGCATAATTAGCATCATCAATTAATCCTTTATTCACAACCGAGTTCAAAAATAATATCACTTTGATCTAGTTTGTAGTATAATATTCTCTTTTAACGTAAATTTACTTCGTCTTGTGCCTTATTTAATATCAATATATGGACAGGTAATGCCTTCGAAGAAAACAATGGTCAGTTGTTCTCAACAGCCGAGAGAGATAATGACGCATACTTTAAGAACTGCGCCGTAATTCGGAAAGCACCATGGTGGCACAGAAGATGTACGGCCGTAAATCTGAATGGCGAGTACAACGTTATACACTGGAGAACTTCCGTGTATTGGAAGGGATTTTATGAAGAAGATGTACCCACTCGAATGAAGAAAACAAGAATGATGTTAAAGAAACCGTAGAGGACGGATGGATTTTTTTTATTTTGTGTCACACAAAGTAGCTGTACTAAAGTGACGGGTGATCCTTAATGGTTGGGAATTCTAGCAAAATTATCATTATTGTTAGGACATTTTTAGCGGCCCGTCAACCCATAAAATATCATTAGGGCCATCAAACGGTAAAACACAGAGCGATCCAAAAAGAACCATCAAACAAACTACAAGGTATAAGACAAATGATAAAATTTTCAAATGGTCATATCATCACAAAAGATCAAATTGATTGGTACGTTGCAAAATAACATGAAATTTCAATACTGATATCAATGTAATGTTATTGGTAACAACAAAATGTACAGCGATTGGGTGTTTGTAACCATGCAGACCAAGAGAGACGACATTAAAAATTAATCAACTTGAGAGACATTGACCAATGGACCGTAAAACAATCGTATATTTTTATTATGTAAATCGATATTTTTTTAATAAGTGATGTGTTTACTTCAGTGACGTTTTAATAAACATGTCAATGTTATCAAGATCTCTCAATATTTTGTTGTACACGTTGTTTATTGGTGATATTCTCCACAACCTTTTCGTTCGGTTATTCCTTTGAATTTCTGCCAAAATGTGTCAATTTCTGGATAATTCTAATAATGTACATGAAGCGAAGCATGATGAAATATTCTGCCATGGAGGATAAATGATCCGTAAAACCATAATGTATTTCTATTCTTGAAATCGATTTTTACTTAATAAGTAATATGGTAACTCTCATGTTTGATCTGGTCGTTGACCTTCCTACCCAGATGAATGTTATGCGTTCTGACTACATGCCTTCAAAAACAAATGTTATCAAAATGGTACTTAATTCTTCCGCTTAGCATTATATTGGATATACAAGGACCGATTAGAACGTTGTAATGGGTGGAGTGTCACGCTACCAATTCCAGATTAAAACCCAAATCTACAACCATACCTAATTGCGGCTCTAAAGACTCAATATTTCACAAAAGTTGAGTATGCACGAAAACATCCACGTGGCTAGGGTAGATAAAACATAGCAGTGACGTCTTTCTCGACTTTTCAAACCGGAATATTTACAGCGTATTCTGGTAAATTTTCCTCTCTTCACTAAAGACGATCCGCTTGCGTTTCCTCTGTGGAGACGACATTAGAAACTGGTTTGCTTCAATTGCTTTGCGTCTTGTCTTATCATTAGTCAGGGTCATTTAAGGATGGCTTCCAGATGTATCCTCCAAGAGTACTTGTGTAGTGTACCTATGTGTCATGTGGTAGTGTGGAAGTAAGTCGACTTTACACTGTTATCTCTCTAAAGTATACCGTCTAAAACCCCAAGCAGGAATCTCTCACCATGTCCCATTATACTGACAACGGGTGAACTAGGTGTTTCACTATCACAACTAAAATTGAAGCTGATTTGTGTTTCTTGGACTCCCGAGTGATTCCAAATTTTAAACCTAGGCGCGATTCGGTAAATATAAAGTAATCGAAAGAAGATCGTTACAAAATTAGAACATAAACCTATGTTTTGTCGCCTCATACACACAGCAGGTACAAATGGTTGCTCCCCACCTGCAGGACAGGCATTCGAAAATAGTAAGAAAATATCAAAGATTATACAAAATTCAAACAAGTGAACAGCCCGATAAAGATTGTTACTTCACAATTACCTCTATGATATATTTCATTTAGGTTCACCTTTTTCAAATATGGTCGCATTTCGAGATTAAAACACATTGATGGTTTCGTATTTGACCATTGGTATTAGATTCGAGCCGATCAATCAAGGAAGTTTTTGCTAAATTTATGATTTGATATTATATGCTCCTGAATATCATTTTTTGTAATATAGATTTTGAGGTAGAGGCCAGCTATATATGATATCCGATGTTTTCTTCCGAATGCTTCAGCCTGCGCTTGGACAATCTTTTGGCGTGGTGTTACGCGACCTTATAATAAAGGGAGGTAAGGGGTTCTGTCCCCTGATATAGACAAATGAAATGTCATAAATATTTGTAGACTGGGTTACCTGCCTTATTTTACAACTTTTCTCGTTAAACTGCGCTCGTTGAAATTAAGACACGTCAGAACCACCATCTTTGTCAAACGTTTGACCAAAAAGACGCTGACTTGTTACTTCAGTTAACGAATCGATGTCTGGGTTTGAGTCTCGTTGATATTGGCAACCTGTGTCAGATAAATCGTCGGAAAAGAATTCTTTAAAAAGATCGCCATTGTAAATGTATTGAAAGTCATTTGAAAACAGTTTATCTTCAAGTTCAACAGTTAATTTCTTAAATTACTATCCCTCGAGTTTTTATCTTTCATGAAATGTTGAAATAACGAGCATATCACGCTTATGACATTCGATTTGAACAGTAAATATATAAGCAACGGAAAGAGGGAATAATTCCATGAACATGCCAGTAATGTATAATACTGTACAAAGATATTTGACAACATTGTCTACTACGGCAGGATAGTTATTTGTTGTGTAAGAATAGGTTATCCTGTTGTGAAATAATATACTTTAACTGGGCAAAGAATCATGCTACCATATCCAGGTGATGATATTAGGCATAGCATTCCTGCATCGGTCAACTGACCATTGCAGCTTTTCAGTCAGTAAGATGAAAGTCGGATCTACTGTTTACACAAAAACGAGTCCCATTCTCCCAAAAACTGATTCATTCCAAACTTGGACAATATACAGATGGGCGTCAGACTCCTGGTTTATACCGAATTATGTTCCATTCAACCAGGTATGTTACAGAAAACATATTTTAAAGAACCTCCCGTATAAGGCCCCACTTATCCTGTCCCAGAAGGCTGGGACCAACCTCGAAATGAATGATTCACATCAAATTGAGAGAATGCTGGAATTCTTACAGACGAATAATGATTTTAAAGAATTATTTTATTTCCCTTTTTTGGCCTCCCTCTTTGCAACAGGAAGCAACGATCAGTCGGTTATACAAATTTCATTCCCCTGTATGAAGGACGATTCACCACAAAATCACCCCTTTGTAGTCCTGATCTTCAGGACCAAGCTGTGGCGAGATACACCATTCATACAAAATCTGTTCCGCTCTCTCCCTATGACTAGGTCAAAATCGGGTCACAATTCGCTGGGCCGTTCATGGCTAATAATAGTGTTATGAAAAAGGTTGCCGGGCAGTCGATGGACGCCACGACATGGTATAAACTCTCCGGTCCTTTGGACAAGCTGAACTATAACAAAAATACAGCTGTACATATTGAAATACTTGTAAGCAATCATTTATCATATAAACAGTCATAGTAACCTCATTATTAATTTCATATATTTCGTTTATAGTATCACATATTTTAATCATAAAGGGCATTATTGTAACTTTAAATATTTTTTTACGGAAGGGAATTGCATGTTCATGTTTAGTAGAATTAAATTGACCACTTGTAAATTTCTGTATATCTCTAACAGTCCAAATCTAATCATTGATATTTGGCGATTTTCAGATACAACCGCGTATGGGCGAGTGCCTGTCGTACGTAATATGTAGATATTCTTCACGTACATTCTTCACGTACGAAAGCGTTTCAGTTGGAAATAATGATCTACAAGTACATAAATTGCAACAAATGGAAATGATTATTACTCCCCAAAATAGCGTATACCTCTTATCTATTTTAGCCTATTTGCCACATTTGGATTCATTGAAATAGTGGAACGGAATGTATACAATTCAGGATTTTTTCCTGAATAAATTGGTAAAAGGCCCCTTTGGGAAATTGGGGAAATCATCGATATATCAACAGAATATTTCTATTAATAAAAACAGTTTATTACATTTGCCATTGATAAATTTTGTTATTTTTCACATACACATTTGCAGGCTTGTGTTAAGAAAATTAGAAAACATAAATAATTTGATAAAACTGACAAATCATGAAGTTCGGTACAAAAAAACACAAAACCAGATAGAAGGGTTTGTTTACTTCTGACACGACCTTTATTTCCATGATAAACATTCATGTCGTTGAAGGTCAACAAACAACGCAACGCCTTTACAGACACCAAACCCAATCCCTAACCGAACGTCTTGAATGTGGAGCTAACACGTTTTACAGCAAATTCTGTCTCTTAGTGACATGGACAAGCAACATTTGCTATTTGAATATGAATGTAAATTGACCTTGAATTTTATGTTTTGTTGACGTATTTTTAATGAAAGTTTTAAACATGGGCAAATGATGGACGCCACGACATGGCATAAACTAGCCGGTCCCTTGGACCGCCTGTGCTAAGACAAAATGGTTGTTCGTGCTGAATCATTTAGGTCGATGTTTCTAATGCAAACAATATAGTCATCACTACTCACACGTTTGAATAAAAGCCGCCATAGCACCTGTTTTTTGTGAAAAGTCTGTGCATTCAACATTTTATTTGTAGAATGTATACCAAGGCCATTTGTTACGGGAACTGGCGGAGAAATCTACTTGTCCAATTTACTAGAAATGAGAGAATCTTACATGTATAACTTGACCCTATTGTAAGAGTTTGTCTGACCAAGATTGAAAGAAAAAATCAAGAAAATACCAACATGGCAACATTATCAACATAACCTTTCCATTGCATCATCATCAATGTATAATTGACATTAAAAACTTGATCATTAAATAAAACGTTAAGTTGTAGATATTTATAGTCATAGAAAGTGCATGTATACATTTTGTTTTAATTTTTCTGATACAGGTATAGCAAAATAGAATTCCTGATAGTAGTGAAAATAATGAAATTACGGACTTTCACATATCTAAGTTCGTCGTAAAATGGTGACTCACAGTGATGCAGGTGCGATTATCACTTGGGGCGACGGTGTAGTACCGGTTTATAAGAATTATGGGTAAGTGTTATGGTTGTCATAGTGACCTCGTTTTTTAAATGTGATATAAAGTTGGGCGTCTTTGATGCTCTTTAGCTTGCCTGATTGTTAGTTAGGTTTATTGTGTTGCAG